ATAACTCTTTTGCATTTTTTACATTGAGATTGATCAATATAACCAAAAATAACATTTGTCGTTAAACAATATCTACATCCAGTATAAATTATAAAGCAATTTGAACACCATTTTTGACAATTTGATTTAAATTCTAGTCTTAAATCACAAACTATACATTGATTATAAGTATCCCACCATGATAAATAAAGAATTGGAACAGTAGAAGTTGATTCTATGAGTTCAAAAGAAAATAAATAACAATTTGAACATAATTTATACTCCACAATATTATCTTGTATATTTCGTTTGTAGATTAATTTTCCACATAATCTACAATGGTTTTCTTCATAAAAATGATCTATATTACAAAAATCACTTTTACAATTTGTAACTATCTGTTTGAAGTATAAAATCTCACAGCAATTTTCACACCATCCTTGGATGCAAAAATTCAAATTTCTTGGTTCATGATTTTTACAATTGGTATTTGTTGTGCCTACTACATATACATCCAAATTATCAAGTACACATCCATTAGTCAAACTACTAGTTGCATATTTAATACACCAATATAAGCAATCCTTACAATATTTCTGTTTGAATAAGGGTGTTTCAGAATATACTTTATTGCAACAATAACATTTATCTTCATTATTATTAAAAGGGACAAACATAATTGGCATAGAATCTTCATTACTTTCTAAATTTGCAATTATTTGAGAATATATCTTCAAATCAAAATATCTAAGCTTCTTTATATAATTATATATTTCTAATGGATTTGAATTTTTATCAATATTATTCACATAATTAGCAATTTGATTATAGTTATGAGTGTTGAGTTTTAGTAAGTGCTCTCCAATATTTGTTATATTATTCACATTAATAGTAGTAATTAATAGCATTCTTTTGCATTTCATACATTGAGATTGATTTACAATTCCAAAAATAATATTTGTTGTTAAACAATATCTACATCCAGTATAAATTATATAGCATTTTGAACACCACTTTTGACAATCAGATCTGGATTTTAGGAGCCGATCACAAATTATACATAGATCATAGGCATCCCACCATGATAAATGAAGAATTGGAATAGTAAAATTCGATTCTGTAAATTCAAAAGAAATTAAATAACAATTTGGGCATAACTGGAATTCGACAATGATACTTCCACATAACCTACAGAAATTTGAACCTTTGTATAAATAGTAATATTTCTGATTTGTAACTATTTGTTGAAAGTATGAAATATCAGAGCAGTTCTCACACCATCCTTGAATATGAAACCCCAAATTTCTTGGTTCATGTTTATTACAACAATTATTAATTATGGTTTTACATGCATCCAAGTTACAAATTGGATATCTAATATCCACACTACTGGTTGCATACTTAATATACTAGGATAAGCAATTCTTGCAATATTTTTGTTTGAATAAGATAGTTTTAGAATATTTTTTTTTTACAACAATAACAATGACGTTCATTATTATTGAATGGGATAAACATAATTGGTATAGTTACGTTTAATGAATTTTCATTCTTTTCTAAATTTGCAATTTGAGAATATATCTTTAAATGAAAATAATTAAGCTTCTTTATAAGGCCATATATTTCTAATATATTAGAATTTTTACCAATGTTACTAACATAGTTAGCAATTTGATTAAAGCTATGAGTGTTGAATTTAGAAAAGTATTCTCCAATATATGTCATGTTAGCAGACATATTAACATTAATCAATGATATTCTTTTACATTTTATACATTGAGATTGTTCTGTAATCCCCAAAACAATATTTGTTGTTAAACAATATCTACATCCAATATAAACTGTCAAGCAATTTGTACACAATTTTTGACTATTTGAGTTAAATTTTAGTTTTGAATCACAAATTATACACCGTTTATGAGTATCCCACCAAGGTAAATAAAGAATTGGAATGGCAGAAGTTGATTCTAACCACGCAAAAGAAATTGGATAACATTCTGAACAAATAATACCATAATGCTTGTGACCACATAATTCACAAGTTTCATATGACTTATCATAAAAGAATGATTGATTTGATACTATTTGCTTGAAGTATAAGCTCTCAGGCCATTTTTCAAATTGTTCTTCGATGCTTAGATATTTTCTATAGTGAATATCCAAGTATTCATCGAAATTGGTTGTATTCTTAATATATACAAATAAGCAATATTTGCAGAATTTTTGTAATAAAAGTGTTTCAGAGTATGTACGTCCACAATCGCAACTAATATTATCTATATCAAAGGGGGTAAACAAAATTTGAGTAGGACTTGATTTTAATCTTGGCGTCAGTTCAAAAGAATTTTTGATAGTACTTGAGTGGTCAAGTTCCATGATGTATTAGAAAGTTAGTTTTTTTTTAAAAAAAAATTGAAAATACGACAATATTTATATATTCATTTGGACCATTATTTCCCCTTTAGTCAGCTATTTTCTGATGGAAAAGTTTCTAATTACGGAATTAATGGGATTTTCTATTATTCAAATGAAGGATTCTATGGAAGTGTGATTGCAGATCTATAAACAGTTACTACGCCAATTCAGTAACACTCGAAAAATTCTGAATTGTCATTAATCACGTATTAAGTGATGAGATAATTATGAATTTATCACCATGTGAGTAATAAAAATTTCTAATTAATATATTACCAATTTCATTCATGCCATATTTAATAAATAACTTTATAAAGGATAATAAAGGGTCTGATTTTATATTTTAACAACATACTCTTCACACCTCTCAGGTAGTTCCATCTCTTGTCGGTGGAAGCCAATATCTAAAAAAATGAAATTAACGAGGTACGTAATTAATTTTTATTTTTACTGCACTAGTAATATAAAAAAAGTGGATAATCAAGCCACTAAAAAAAAAATTGAATCTATCACCGGAAATTTCTAAAAAAAGTAATATGAAAAACATCACGTCATTGGCTTAAAATTCTTGCACGAACACGAACAGAAAATTTCCTTTTATCATTCATGACGAATTTTTTAAAGCCGAAGTTAGCCTCTATAGGTTAAGACTTTTTTTATAATGGGCTTAATCATGGAGAAAATAATCAGAATTAAACTAGCCATCCCTAAAAAAAGTCGATCCATTTTTTATATTCCATCTCTTTTCCGTAAAAGGCTCATAATTCAAGAATTATAACCTTTTATCCCGGAATTTATCAATTTATTTACATTTTCCATGAATGGATCCATGAAGAGCTCATTTTTATGGAGTTTTTACAGAAATAATGGACAAAATTTTTATAGGGAATTGTATTCTTAGAACGGGTAAGTATTTTTAATAACGGAAAAATATCTCCAAATAACAAAATATATTGCTCATCTCTGTATTTAAATTTTTACAATCTGGCAAGTTGCACTAAGGTTATGCAGAATTTCAATACTTCAGATATTGTTAGATTAAAATTACATTAATTAAATATCTTCAGAGGGGTTAATAAAGAAATTAAAAAAAAAAATTAAATGATTCTATAGTAAAAAAGAACAAAGGAAATAAAAATAAGTTATTTCGCGGAGTCACTGTGGAATATCATGATTTTTACTGTTGCGCCGTAAAAATCATGGCATCAGTTAAATATTAAATAAAACGTAATGATATAAGATTGTTACTAACACTTTGAATCCTTTTTTTCAAATTCATTTTAAGCGTGTTGAACACCACATCACGTGTTACATTGATTTGTTTATCATCTACTTTATCTATATACAAATGATTATTTATTTCTTTTATCTAACCTAGCACGCTTAGTGCTCCGTACGGGTTGGTCAAACATGCTTTGCAGAAACCTGTGATTTGTTACCATGCAGTTAAAAAATCGCCATCAAATCACAACGATCTATTATCCAACATGTGGCGACATGGTATCAAATTATCTCGTGAAATTGTCGATAACATATTTTTACGAAGTTGTAAAATGCTATTAAATAGGTGGTAAATAGGTGGTGAATAGGTGGTAAATAACATCAAGAATTAGTAGTGAAAATTAATCTAAGATATTTCTTAGATGTATTAAATATTATTTAGTGATGAATCTGCCAATTTATTTTATTCATATTTTTTATATAAATTTTATTCTGTATGATAATTTTTAACATCGGGAAAAGCCTTATGTATCATGTGATACACGGAACATTATAAAATAATTAATAGTTTGATCTAAACTTTTTTTAACTTAGCGATCATTAATATAAAAATAAACTATTTTTAACTTTTAAATTTTTTTTTCCAACGAAAATCTTTCCTTTCGCCCTTTACCTTTCATTTCCCCACATTTCTTTCCTTCATTTTTCTCTTCATTCCTTCTTCCCTTTATTGTTTTATATCTTTTTTTTTTAAAAAAAAATTTTTTCTACTAAAAAAACTGTTTTATAATTTGTTTAAAAAAAAAAAAAAATATTTTTTTTATGGTTTTTTAACCACCATATTTTTAAATTTTTTTTTATAAAAATTTCGTTTTTCATCCCTCATCCTTTCCTTCTTCTCCCGTATTTTATTTAAAAAAAAGTTGAAGAGAACCCAGAAAAAAAAAATCAAATTCTATAATGATAATGAAATGTTATAACATTTCAATTTTTTCTTTTTCTTTAGGTGGCTCCCTCGGTCTCCTATGTGACATTTCGTAAGTTTTAGATAAAAATTTTTTTTCTTTAATTTATTTTAACAAACAGTTCATTTCTTTTCAGGTAGTTTTTCGGGTTTCTTTTGACGCGTGGGATTTCATTTTTGGTAAGTTTTTTCTTTGTTTTAGTTTATTTATTCTAACGAAACGTACTGTACATTAACTTCAATTTTATCTTTTTTTTTTAGATGGGCTGGACACATGGGAAAGAAAATTAGGGTATATGATTTTGAATTTAATTCTTTTGTTTTAGGTGACTTTTCTAGATGGGGGATGAGATTTCAATGGGAGGTTTTTTTTTAAATGATTTTGTTTTTCTTTTTTTTTTTAGATATCGATGAGATACCTTTTCTAAGCTTAGGGATTCGTAGGGTATCGTGAGAGTTGAATTAAACCAAAGTCCCTGTTGATTAGATTAAAGATGAGTACCCTCCATACGATACTTTTGTACTATTGAAGACTGAATTCAATAATCTATCTTTCGATATTTCAAGTATGACTTGGGTGATAGTTAGACATTGGACGCGTAAATTCTTGGTGAAAAATCAGTTAATTTGTTTCTCTTAACGAAATGTTTTCTAATGGTTTGTTTCCTTTTTTTAGATAGTAGCCATTTCTTCGGATTACTTTAAACATGTGAGAATTTGGTGAGTAGGTTTTCTTTGAGCTAACTATTTTAACGAAACATTCATTAGCATTGCAACTTTTTTCTTTAGACGTGTAGGACAGATAAGTTTCGAAAAAAAAAATTTTTGAACCTTTAAAAAAAATGGATTTTGTCTTTTTTCGTAAGATTGGACACAGAAGAATCGGGAAGTTTCAAAATTATTTCCAGATGCAGACCTTAAAAACATTTTATTAACGTTTTTTTCCTATTATATAGGTTCTGGCTCATATGTTTAGTGTTTCAAAATTTTTAAACTTTCTTTTTTGTATATTCAGGCAAACTAGGTCATCGGAAAAGACAGAGTAAGTTTCAACATAAACTTTACTTTTTTTGATTTCTTAAAAAAGAAAACGTATTGTTGACGTTCCTCTATTTTCTTTTTGTAGGATTCAAGTCCTGACTACTGGAAGATTGAGTTCATTATGAAACTTAGTAAGGATTCGTTAAAATACCTTCCGAAGTTCAAAGAAATCAAATAAAACTAATACCTCCTTTATGGGAATATGGGGATCCAATAATTAATTGTTATTATAGGAAATGTCCACTACTTATCATTATTAAAAAAAGGAGAACGGCTACTTCCTTGATAATCATTTCACCAACGACTAGGGCCTTGTAATACAATGTCAGAAATCACTTTGTTTCGCAAAAAATTAATAGAATGAGAAGCGAAAATCTTAAAACTTCACGATAGAATTATAAAGGATAAATGTGAGTTTCAAAATAATTTCGAAACTAAATTTAAAAAGATGTTTTAATAACATTTTTGTTCATCTTTTCATAAGACACAAGCCCGCCTTTATTACCGGAACCCCAGAGGTGTGTTTCAGAATACTTTCAAAGACTTTTTTTTTAAAAAGCATTTTAATAAGTAATAACCTTTATTTTTTTTAAAAAAAAAAATTTTGAAAAAAATGTTTTTAATAGAGTTAAGAGGACATTTAACGTTATATGAAATTTATATCTATGTTTATTGAACAATTTAGTTTTATTTATAGATTAGAATAATTCGTATGATTAGATTTAGGATAGAACAATTTAATATTTCTAAAATAAAGTTTATTATAGTACATCAATTTTAAAATAAATAAACTATAACTTTACTGCAACTTTAATATTTGTTTACTATAACTTAAACATGCATTTAATATAATTTAAATATACATTTACTATATGTTTTCGATTTCAATACTATTTTTGCACGAGCCGGTTAAATCAGGTGACGATTTCCTTAATATGCATCAACTTTATACATACGATCCGCGTAAACTTATAATCAAGATTTGGTCACGATATGGTATTAAATCTTTACGATAAGTTCTATGATAAAGTTTTGATATAGTTACGATGTGGTTTCGATTTTAAAAGTTTCTGCAAAGCTTTGCAGAAACTTGATGATTTGCAACCTAGCCGTCACGAGATTGACCCAAATTCGCATCGATCACGTGGCGGCATGTTATCTCGGCGAAATTTTTACGATTCGTAAAAATTTTGCCAACTTATTGTCAATAAGAAGTTTTGAAATAGCTTCGAACTGCAATAAAAGTATTATTAGATTAGTTGCTAAAGTAGAAGATTAGGCGAAAAAATTAATTAAAGACGTTTTATCGATATATTAAATAATATTTAACGAAGCTTATTATTTGATAGAATAAATCAAATTTTATTTAATTATTGTAATAGCAATTTTCATCGTAATAATATATTGTAATAGAAATGACTGATAAAAAATGCAAATAATAAAAATTTATATTTTTATCATTGTAAAATGCAGTATTATAATAAAATTCGTTATATTTTAATAAAAATGTAAATTTTTATAATTTTGCAAAGTTTTGGCCATTTCTAGATGGCACTGCTAAAATTTTTGTCATCATGTCCAAAGTTTTCGTTCTTTCCAGATCTCTGGTATTATAATTAAAAATTACAGCCTTTTTAACTAGATTATTTAAATAAATCAACGAATTTTCTCTTCTCAAATCATAAATTTTCACAGAATTCAACCACTGTCATTTTCTTTTTCATCAATAAAATCAATATCTTCTTTTTGCGGTAAAATTGTTTCAGGCATACCTTTTTTAACAAAATATTATTGTAATGTTTCAGTCAAATATCATGATATCTGTCAATTAAAAGCTGAAATAAAAAAGAAAAGGAATAATTAGGCCGGGCAAAAAAAATTTTTAGATTCTCGTGACATAAAATTTTAAAAATGACCCGGCTGGCCGGCATTTTTTTTTATATTTGTAAAATTTTTTCATATGTAAAATTTTTTTACGCCACATTGGCCAATAACTTAAAATTACATGATAAAAATATTTTACTATAAAAAAAAAATTTCCATTTTTCGAAAAACTGACCCGGCCGGGTCACGAGAATCTAAATTTTTTTTTTGCCCTGCCTTACTTGTTTTTTTTCTTTGAATGAATTGACCAATCTTTCTATCCCGTTGAGAAACTTGTTTCTGAATCTCCAAATTGTCTAAGCCCGATCCTTAACCATTCTAAACCTTTGACTGAGTTAAGTTTTCACTTGATTATTTTGTCATACCAACTCTTCAAGAGCACATTTTGGAGGATTTCTAACGCGCAAGAAGAGACATTTTAGTTCTTCTAAAAAATTGTGACTAGCCATTGACTGTAAGTAGCAAAATAAATATTGTTAATGGCTTTTAGTGGCTTTTTAAGCAATCAAAACAAAAACCAAAGAATTCTTACTTTGTGTTCTTGCAATAAGAGTTGAAAGAGTTGATATATCTGAATTCCTGGATCTTGGAACTTCAGTTAAGAGATCCGAATTTCTAGATCTTAGACGTGAAGGAGCCAATAAATTTTCAAGATCGTCCGTATTTCTATTAATTTCTTGTAAAGATTCTAGACGCAGAGCTGAGATTCCACAACCACGTTTGGTTTTGGGTTTTTCTTGAGAAGATTCATCCTTTCTAGTACTGTTACATCCACAAGTTTGAGGCATTTTTAAATCATTGAATATTTATGTAAATAATTGTTTATTTGTCTTATTTGTTAAATATCTCTTGATTAAAAATTAAATGGTATTTTTTTTCGCTAATCATGTACAAATTAATCTAATTATAACAGTATGTATTTTAGTTAATTTAGACTGTTTGGTTAGTTTAATTCAATACAGTACTTTTTACTTTTTAATTTAGTATAAAAAAGTTAATCTAATTATGTCATCAGTATGTATTTTTAGTTAATTTAGACTATATATAGTACTTTTTTTCGTATGCTTTTTTTTTAATTTAATATAAAAAGTTAGTTTAGTTAATTTCCACTGACTATTTAGTTGATTTATACTATAATAAGCTAGTTTAATCAATGTACAGCACTTATTTTCGTATACTTTTTCAATTTAATATAAAAGAAATAGTCAAATAAAGTTAGTTTATGCTTTAATTATTTTCTTTTGTTAGTAAATATTATGTAATTGACTTAAATAAACATTGCTAGTATCTTGTAAATGAATTTTTCACACGCTTTTTTTCTCTTTCAAAGTCATTATACTTCATTTTAATTCACATCATACTTACCATTAGACACCATTATAGTAAAATTAACAAGGTATCTTTACAAATATCAAATGAAGGAAATGAAAAAAATGCATCTGAAGATACAACTCAGATATTTAATCATTTTTCTGGAAAATTTTTTATAGATGTTATATTCCATTCTTTTCATTTCGCCAGCTGTTTGAAGAGAGATGAAATTACTATAAATTACAAATGATACATTTGTCAAACTGTAATCCACCTAAAAATTTGGCCTGTATATTAGAAATTGTTTTAAAAAATTGATGCTCTCAGAAACAATTTTATATATGGTGTATATTTTTTTTTTTAAGAAATAATCATTATACTTATTACTAACTACTTTTTCTTTATTTTGTAGGAACAGAAAGAACATCAGTTCTTTGGGTACCTGAACTTCCTTCCGGCTTTCAAACATGGAACTATAGAAAGTATAATAGTCAGATTAGAGTGTAGTAATTTTTTACATAAAAAACATTAAATATATATATCTTTTTCTTTACTATTTAGGACGTAAATACCAAGTTTGGACTTGTAAACTTCGGATAAGTATATTGGTTAGAATTTAGAAGTGGGAGAATGTAATGGTTAATTTATTTGTATACGTTTTTTTTCTTTTATTTTTTAGATGCGTATTTATTGGAGTTTTGGATGTCTGAAGCTCCAGTTTCTGGACATGGAAGGTGGGTTGGTTGGTACCAGCTCCTTGGGTAAAGGGAATGGAAATTTATATTATTATTGAAAGAAAAGATATTATTATTTTTTCTCTTATTTTAGGTGAACACAGCCAACTGGGAAGCTGGAGAGGGATTAATTTTTGAAACGTTACTTACGTTTTTTATGAAAATTAGATTGAAATCTAATATTAGTTCCATCAACTCCATTGACCCCATTGACCCCTACCGGCTTATCTTTTTCAAGTCAAACTGAACTGAATGACTTCGGAGCATCAAGTCAAGCAAAATTGACCCCATCGGCGCGGTTCATCAGTTCAGTTCGGCATGGCTTGGACTTAACAACACTAGGTTTGAGAGTACAAATTGGATAAAGCTATATTACTCGCCAATATACGAGCAGAAAATAGCTGGAGAAAGATTTTTCCCATTAGCGTGGTTAATGTAGTTAATAGTGTACATTTCATTTACAATTGTAAAGATGACGAATGTATTGGTAACATTCACAATCTTAGAAATGATACGTATATTCATAATATGTATTATTTCAAGGCTGTATAATATTTAGTTATTAATTATTTAAAGTTTCGAAAATAGTACCTTAATACAACAATATTTAATTTTTACAATTTTCATAATATCAATTTATTAAATTTTTAAAATTTTGATAATATCAATAATATTAATTTATTTAATTTCGATAATACTAATTTACTAATTTATTAAAATTTTGATAAAATTTTGATAATATTAATTTAACTATAATTTATAATTTTGATAATGTAAATTTAAAATTTCGATAATATAAATTTAAAATTTTGGTAATATAAATTTAAAATTTTTTATTAATTTATTTATGACTTCGAAATGAAATTGATTAAAATAAACTATCGATCGTCTTAATATGCAGTAACTGCATCTTGAAGAATTTTAATTAAGTCGAAACTGAGTTTTGACCATAACTTTTCTTTAAATTTAATATGAACATGCGATTTGGTCAAGATTTGGTTTCAATTTAGAAAATTTCTGCAAAGTGATATTTACAGTTTTTAAATGATAATGTGGGAACTCACACCAGGTATTCCTCCATTTAATCATGAAGCACATGATTTTGAGTAATTGTAGAGGGAAACGCCCTGAAATTGTAAAAAATACTCCAAAATGTTTTATAAAGTTAATGAAAAAATGTTGGGATTCAAGTCCTTCCAATAGACTAACCATAATAATGCTTGAAAATAATATATCTAAATGGATTAGATGTATTTATGAATATTATGAAATGAACAGGGATGGAAATTATTTCTATGAAGAACCTAATATTGATAGTCAATTAAAAAATGGTATGTTGGAATTTGTAAAAGCAAACAACACTTTAGTACAAAACAAGCAAATAATTCTATACAGGCTCATCCACAAGAATTATTATATAAATTGTAAACTTACTGAAATTTTAGTTCAAGAAGAGCCTCAGGGGTTTGATTGTAGAATTGAAGATTAGTAATTCTGTCATTTATTCTTTATTTATCGAATTATTTATCTACCTTAGATATATCTTACAGTGATATGTATAGTTTTTTTATGATTGAGAGAATTTATATTTGGAGTTCTACCATTTTATGATCGAGTACATGATATTCTTGAAATTAAAAGTTTATTAGTATATTTGATAGCAGAAATGCAATTATGAGATCTCTAAATTAAAATATATTGTTCAAAATAAATTCCTGTAAAAAGAGTGTTTAACCTGTTTTTAGATATTATGACCAAAGTATGCTTGCCGCCGTCGGAATTAATTATGGTATATGAAGCTTATACCGTAATATATTAAATCGCCGTAATGCCGTAAATGCCAAATATACAAAAATTACACAAAGAAAGTAAATATTATTTTTTGGTTATGCCGTAGATAATTTGTAATCCGTAAATTTATAATGTTGTTCTTGATGATTTGTTAGATATTTAAATGGTAAAATTCATACAGTATTTCATAAGGGTTTACCACGAAATCCCGACAAGCACAATCCCGATATGATAAAATCCCGAGGCACGTATTCCTGACAGAGACAATATACTGAACGATCAAAATCCCGAAAGTATCATATCCCGAATGGTCTAAAATCCAGAATTTAAATTTCCTGAAAGTTCAAGTTACTGATGAGTCAAAATCCCGACACAATATTATAATTTTGAGTATCTCTTTGATTTTTGTTTACTAGGAAGATCATTTCCTACTGGCTATATAATTTGCGACACTATTTCCAATTTAAATGATAAAAAATTGCAATTTTGATTTATGACTTACATGTTACAGTATAATATATAGTTAGATCACGCAGTAGTAATTGACATAATAACTCCTTGGCAAATTATGCAAATTATTAACAATTGTGCAATCACTACGATATTATTACATAAATGGTCACATGAAAAAAATTCTTTTCTTTATTGTGTCGGGATTTTGACTCATCAGTAATTTGAACTTTCAGGAATTTTGAATTCCAGATTTTGGACTATTCGGGATATAATTCTTTCAGTATTTTAATCATTCGGGATATTGTCTTAGTCGGGAATAGGAGTGTCAAGATTTTATCACATCGGGATTATGGTTGTCGGGATTTCGGGAGGATCCCATTTCATAATGCCGTAATTTTTCAATTTGGCAATTCTGACGGTACCTATAGACCAAAGTTTTTGACAAATTCTCGTATCAGAAATTAAATCTTTATAATTCTTTATTTATTTGATAATACTTAAAATAAGTTACAAGGGACTTATTGAATAAAGGATGCATGCAAAGGGATAGATAAATTTAAATATTTAAAACAAATCGAAGACTAGATTGACAATTTCACCATAATGATTTTCAAGTCTCAAATCATTCGTACAGTACTATTACATGAATCAAATTATCACGTTGATCCTTCCCTTTATGGGTAATCCTGGCGGAGAATTTATTACCATTTTTAGGAATTGGCCGAAATTATCATAATTCCGAGTATAATGTAATCTTGGCCAGAATTAAGAAATTATTTTTATCAAGAGGTATATGATATTGTAACGAACGATCAATCACGTGACCAGAATTCAATTTAATCACGGGATTGTTGATCTATGTTTCAAATGTTACGAATGTTTGATATGTTTTAACATATTTAACATATGCAACATATTAAATATGTTCAACATATCAAATATATGCAACATATCAAATATGTTTAATTTATTAAATATGTTTAATATATGCAATATGTTAGATATATTTAACATTAATTAATTAGAGTAAAATAATTATAAATAGTGGAGCATTTGTAGCAGAACGAAAGGTAGTTGAATGAAGTTCAAGTAGAAGAGTTTTCTTAATAAAATGGTTCTAATGATTATATTAAATAAACTGTTGTTTGAATTTAACGAAATATAAATTTGTTATCCTTTATTCGTGTTGGGAGTATATGCCGACGTACAGTGCTATACTACACGTCTGATTGGATTGTTTATTAAGTGTTTATACATATAGTTTGTTTATTGATTATACCCGTCTACCTATATACCTTCTGCTTACCCTTTTCCATTTGTTTACGTTTGTAAACGCTAAAGAACTGGCTATAACAATATCAATCTTAACGATTTAACGTACGGCATCATGTGTACAATTTTAATATACATCCCATTAAATAAAATTGAGATTATGGTACAATGCTAGTAAAATTCGTAATTTCTGCTCAAAAACTTGTAAATTTGAAAGAAATGCTTAGGATTGTCTTTATAGGAAATAAATAAATAATTCATATAATGTTTAGTAATTTGAGTTTTTTTTTTCTTTGGTAATTAGTTAATAGTTTGTTATTTTTTTTAAAAAAAAAAATTTTTTAGCACATATATTGCAAGTAATCAACAACTTATTGTGCAGGAAGCGAAGATAGAAATAAAATTTTATAGATAATATATGCGATTTTTTATTTATTTTATTTTTAAAAAAGTTTTAAAAATTTTAAAAAATAAATTTTGTAAAGTTCGAAATTTTTAAACAGAACTTTCATGGAACTTTGCAACTAAGTTAACTCTTTTTTTTCATTAAATCAAAAAAATTATATTTAGATTAGTCAAGAAGATAAATTTCTGAAATTAAATGGTTAAAAATAAAAAAAAAAGTTGATTTTTTGTAGATTAAACAATATAGTTGGTACATTAACTGAACTTCATTTGTTTTATAGATGAAATATACAAAATTTCAATATACAGAACTTCAATGTACGTAAGTCAACGTATTACTCTATTTATTGAATATAATTAATGTTTTAAACGAAAAAATTTCTAAGATATACAGTATGTTACACAAAATTAAAGTGTGTTACATTAGGTTATCGTGCAACTTAGGATGTGTACATTAATATCGTACACGTCCAATAAAATAATTTAAATATACTATTATACTTTTTGGGCTGTGCCATAATAAGCGCAGTCTCAATGACAATATTTGTTATGAAATTCAATTATTAATTAAAAGTTTATGGTTGTTACGGTAAATTACAATGAAAAAAAAAACGGGAATATCAATTGACAATGCAATCAACAAACAGATTATGATCAGTAGATTCTGTGATAAAAAAAATGTATATGTTTTTAAAGTAAATATAACTAAACTATAAACAAATAATATCAATTACTAAAATAATTTTTTAAAGTTCATCGTTAAAGGAAAACAAAATAAACAAAAAGAAGATTTTATTGTTTGCATGTATGTTAATTTATTTTTAATTTTATATAATCTTTAATAAAATGGTATATCTTTATGCTGAGAAAACATGGTATATATTAAGGACATATCTATTATCAAATTTAATTTTTTTGTTTTATTTACCTCTTTCTTGAAATATTTCGCTCTTCTATGTTATCTTTCTTTATGCTGAGAAAAATATATATCAAGGACGATTTTTTTCCTTAAAGACATCAAAATTTAATATTTACCCTTTCTCTCAATATTTCTCTCAATATTTCTCTCTTCTATGTTGAAATGAAAAGTAAAAAACAAAAAGACTGTTTTTTTTATTTTTTTATTTTTATTTTTTTTTTTTCCTATTTTATTAGCAATAAAAATGTATTTGTAGAGTACGAAATTTTTGAGAATATTACCGTATCATAATCTGCTTTATTTTATTCCAAAAATGTAAATATTAGGATTTGCAAAAACTGCAATATGCAAAATTTAATTTATTTGCGTAACCAAAAATCAAAAATATTCCCACCATTTATAATGAATTCTTTTTTATTAACATTTTAAACATGCGCACGTGGATTTTCTATTGGAAGAAAAATTTCACAAGAAAAAAAAAAATCACCAGATTTAATGCATATCCAGTCGGATAGATATATTTTAAGGGTGTGTGAATGAAAAAAATGTTGGTTGGGTTGGGTGAGTTTTGATATCAAATAAAAATAAAATATTTCTGTTTGTTTTTTATTTGTTACATAAATAAAATGTATTCGTTCCCTTAAAGGCCGGAGATTTTATTTCTTACTTCCAGAAATTTTTGTTTAACAAATTAATTTATAAATGTTATAAATACTAAAAAGTTATCATGATAAGTTTTATAAAAATGGGTCATAAAATCATTTTATTTCAAATAGGCCCGTGCGTAACAATAGTAATGAAAAAAAAAACTCAAATGAATTTCTTTTTTTAGCTTAACTCTATTCTTATTTAATATAAAATATCAGTAATATAAAAATGGAATTTTCAAATAATAAATAAACCAGCCAAGACTTAATAATCAAAATAATAATATAACGTAACGTAACAGTAAGTGAATATTTATCATGTGCCGTATATTATTTATAGTAAAAAAATAGCGCCAAGCATATTTACCGATCAATTAATCCAAATTTACTGTAATAATTATAATAACAGAGTGTAACCATATTTCGAAGTTTTGAATTCCAGAAAAATAATAGTTACAGATCATATAGTTAATTGTATTGTTGTTTTACAACTATATGAATTAAGTTTCCTTATTATATCGCACATGCATAAATGACATAACAGATAATGCGAATGAACGAAAAATAGGAAAAATTACAGTATGAAAATTATCAATCTGAAAATTATGATTATAATTGATTATAATATTTGATCTTTTATCATTTGTTTCTTTTTTTTTTTTCCTAAAAAAAGAGATCCCGAGTGAAAGAGATTTTGGGGGAAAATTTGTTATATCAAGATGACGCGTTATAACGACTCCTTATCATTGTATGACATACAGTAACAAGTATTAAAACCAGTAATCGCATAAAAAAAGAAAATAAATTTTATTTATTATACTTTTTTATATTTATCGTTATTGTCAATTTAACGAAAAAAATAAAAACTATTGGTATCATTATTCTTACAAACAAATTCTTTCGTTATTGATCCCTAGTGCATAATATTTTTCAAGAGAGATACAAACAACAAATATACTTTCCATGTATTATATGTGCTTATATTCAACCTGTAGACACCGATCGGCCTCGAACAATAAGTACCGTACATCTGAAACTATGTATTAACCATCCGAATATATATGATCATGGATTGTATTCCTTAAAATCCTTATTAAGTTTATCTCTATGACGGCTAAAAAATTTTTTTTCAATACTTGATTTCCCACATCGTATGACAATAACAATTAGTAATTGGTTACAGTAATTTGA